AGATCCCATCTCCTCTCTTCAGGATTTTGCAGGGAACTCCCAGGTGAAACCCAAAGCAACTCCTGCAGCTCTGTGTGAGCGCAGCCACCTCACACCCAACTCATTCCAAGCTTCAGGAAACCTCAGGCTACCTCGAGGATCTGACAGTCTGGATTCCAGGATCTGGGGCAGGAACCCAAGGAGCAGCCCAACCCTTCAGCTCCTCATTTCAGAGTCGCCCCATCTCCGACTGTTCCCGGATATTCCCGTGTCGCTCCGCTGTGTGCTCATGGCACAGTTCCAGATTTCTGCAGAGATGCCCAGGCCGTGAGCACAAACCACTGCCCCAGTCCCGGCATCTGACCATGTATTGGAAAAACCCCTACGGATGATTCCTGCCCATTCCAGAAACTCGGTGCCTCTGGGACAGCAATTCCTCCCCACTCACCCTGGGCTTCCAGCCTTTTCTGTGAGGTTGGCTGAGCATCTGCTGGTGATTAAGGGTTTTGTCATCTGGAAAGAGCTGACAATTACCTCCAATTATTCCAACTAGGTCAGGTTCTTCAGCACAAGTTTATGTGATGACTCTTGGCTGGAATTTAGGATTTCAAACCCCACTGGAGAACAGAATCCACCTCTCCTCTCTCACATTCAGGAAAAAATTCCTTCCATAAATAACAGCTCCTTGTCCCACAGGACCTGACCTGTGTGCCCCTGACCTCAGGACAACACCCCAGGAACTGCACAACAGGCCTGGTTCTCCAGAACTGGAAAAGGGAGTGAAGGGAATTCCAGGATGCTCCAGGAATTTTGAGAGGGGTTTTCTCATCAAACTTTCCATGTCAAAATTCCCTACTTGTTTGGAAACGTCTTTTGGTGCCTCAGGTGCCAGGTGAGAGAGTGGGGACTGAGGTTTAAACTCTGTGTGGGCAAAGGATGCCTCATTCCTGGGACCCACTGTCCTGGACAGGCTCTAATTTCCCACTGGGAGCTTCTCATGGTGTGAGCAGCAAACATTTAACAGGGGCTGCACTGATTCCTGCCAATCCAAACTCTTCCAGGGCTCTTTGAACAGCTGTACCTCTCCAGCCCCACAGCAGATTTGGGCTGTCCCTCTTCTCCAGGGAAGGGGTTTTTCCAGGTGTCCCTCAAAAGCTCAGAGCTTCTCCATACTCCATTTCCCATTCAAGACTCAACGTGCCTGAGAATCCTCCTCAGGAATCTCCTGCAGAGCAGGAAAGGTGGAGTGAACTGAGAACCCAAAGTGCCATTTGGTTCTGTCCTTGTCACGCTGGCCAGCACAGGTACCTCGTGTTTTCCAGCAGGTTCCTGGCAGTGCTTCCCACAGAGATTCCCTTGGGGACAGGAGCGTGTCCCACAAACCCCAGCTCGGAGCACACCCCCAGGAGTGAGGTGCTCCAAATGGGACAAACACAACTGGAAAATGGGCTGCACTGCACAGCCAGGAGATTCCAACTCCTTCTCCCTAATTACATGTGATTGCTTCTTGGCAAGAGCTCAACCTGCCAGAGCAGTGAGGTTTTACAAACATTCACACAGGCATTAGATCATTGTTTGAAGGAGTTATTGGCAGCCCGAATCCGAAGTAAAAACAGAGTTTAAAGCAGACCATATTGACCAGGGTGAAGCTGGCTGCTTTCATGTCTCCTGCTTGTCTCAGGACCCCATTTGTTTCCTGTCACTCCATCACCATGGCATTCCTGGGGCTGGATGTCACCGTTTTGGGGGGTTCTGACTTTGGGGGGTTCTGTCCTTGGTGGGAACACAGGCTATGAAATCAAGAATCTCAGGATGGTTTGGGTTGGAGGGACCTTAAATCCCACCCAGTGCCATCGCTGCCATGGCAGGGACATCAGGGACATCTCCCACTGTCCCAGGAGCTCCCAGCTCCATCCAGCCTGGCCTTGGGCACTGCCAGGGATTCAGGAGCAGCCCCAGCTGCTCTGGGCACCCTGTGCCAGGGCCTCACCCCCTCCCAGCCGGGAATTCCTTCCCAAGAGCTCTGCCATCCTCTCCCAAAACCTTTGGGAAAGCAGGTGGGAGCTCAAGCCCATGGCAAAGGACAAATGGGAATTCCCATGGAATCCTGCTGCCAGTCCCTGGGAGAACAAACTCCTGCTGCAGAGGTGAGTCTGTCCTGCACCACGCTCAGGTGGGGCTGGGAGCCTCTGGCAGCTTGGAGATGGATAAAAATACTCCAGGCTCTGGCAGCTAACCAGGCTGGAGCTCCTCACGGAGCAGCTCCCACCCCAGGGCCCTGCAGGACACCCTGGCCTTCCATGTGTTCCTAAATTAGATCTCCTGAGACCAGGACTGGCTTTTAAAAGGGAGGTGAGCTTGTTAGTGCCCAGCAGTATCCCTTCGATGGGAATCAGCAGTTTTGCTGCACTTGGAGGGGCTGTGAAGGGGAAGGAGGGAAGGGGCAGTGTCAGGGACACTGTCCAAAGCAGAGCCCCTTTGCCTGGCACGGGGGGCACTCAGAGCTCTGTAATTGGGACATTCCCCAGTGCTGAGGCAGAACAGCCCCAGACTAAACCCAGGAGCTTTGGGAACGTGCAATAAGATCCAGAGAAGGTTTATAGGGGCAGTTCTCCAGCAGGCCCCTTCTCCTGAGGCCAAAACCCCCGGTTGGAAAGGGTCTAAGTGAGGATTGCCAAGCTCTCCACCCATGAAAGTCAGGGTGTGCAGGCTCCTTTCTTCCCCAAACCATGGCTTGAGTTACACACCCCTGTGCTGCTGGCATAGGAAACCTAGGGAACTCACATTAGGGGAGTAAAAAAGCTTCTGTGCTGTCAGAGATTCCCTTCCCAGCCTGCCCAGGGATTGGTAAGGACATAAATTAATCAAAAGCGGTGTCTTTTGATTACATAGACACCTCCAGAATCTGAACATAAACGCTGAAGAAACATCTGTGAGATCTGAGAGCTGCCAGGCACCAACGAAACCTGTCCTGCCAAGGCCATTTTTGAATCAGAACCCAAAATCAAAATGACAAAACAAACACAAATGACACAGGAACCATCCTGGAAAAGCCCTCAGGAATCTGCCATCATGTTTTAGAAAGAATGCAGCATTTCTGCTGCTTTAAACTGATTTTACAGTGCAAACCTGTTGGTGCAGCAGCGGCTTTAGGAAAATCTGAACCAACAAAAAGCTTAAAGACCTTTTTGATATATTAACCAGCCCCACTCTCTGGGATGGATTAGTGATTATTGTCACCCTAAAATATAGGAATTTTGCAGGAGAGCTGACGTCCTTCCTAAGGTCAGACGTGATGAAATGGAGCCAGGAAGAAAAAATAATTGGTCCTGGTTTTAAGTGTTAAGCAATTCTGCCTCCCTGAAATAAGCAGTATAATTTATTGTTTTTTCTTGCTCACACAGCAAAATCCACAAACTGCCAAGACAACCAGGAGGGGGAATTTGTCCCTTTATGAAAATCTGTTTTTGCCTTGTAAAGCCGCATTCCCGAGCCAGCAGCTGCTCCAAAGGGCCGATTGCAGACCCCAGATTTCACTCCAGGCACCCCCGAGGCTGTTTGGGTTACAGGATCACCCCAGGACAGCCCAGGTGTGCTGGCCGGCCGCTTTGGGATCATGGAATGGACACACCAGAGCCGACTGTCAGCGTGTGGCCGAAGGCAGCCGCCACTTTCCCAGGGATTTTCCCTTTGCTGTGTGTTTGGAAGGTTACACAGCTGTAAGGCAGACACAGGAGGAGCTGGAAGCCTGCAGGGATCACTGCCTCCATCCCACATGTCCCATGGAAGGAAGCTCTCCCGTGGACTGACATCCCATTAACTCCTGCTGGTGGGAGTGTATTCCTGGGGCTGGAAATCCTTTGGAGCCTCCAACCGCTGGCTGCTCATCCCGCAGATAACTGCGGTCCCATCCCTGACCTGGTGACTCCTATTTATTTTCTCATTTTATAAGAACCAGGTTCTTCCCTGCTCTCGTTCCTGGTGGGAACGAACACTGGTCGGGTGTGAGGCTGCTCTGTCTCGGATACCCGAGATGGAAATCTGGGATCTTGTCCAACTTGTCTGTCTTCCTGGAAAAATCCTCAGCTCCACAGGCTCCCAATCGTGCCCTCAGCTGGAGCGAGGTGGAACTTCACAGGATGGGATGAGGCAGCCCTTTTTCTAAAACGATCTGTGAGGACACAAAGTGTTTCCAGAGGCCAGGAGAGCTCAGGGAAGAAAATCGAGAGGGGACAAATCCCGGCAAAGCTTGGTAAAGGGCTCGGTGCTATCCGGAAAGTGGCGGATCTCTGCCCGGGTCTCCATCAAATCCCAGAGACGGGATATTGGGAAGGAATTCCTACGTGTTAGGGTGGGCAGGCCCTGGCACGGAGTGGCTAGAGAAGCTGTGGCTGCCCCTGGATGCCTGCAAGTGTCCAAGGCCAGGATGGACGGGGCTTGGAGCAGCCTGGGACAGTGGGAGGTGTCCCTGCCATGGCAGGGGTGGCCCAAGACAATCTTTAAGTATTTTTTCCCCCTCCACATCTGCCCCCGTTTCCCGCCATCGCCCCAGCCCTCAGGGTCTGCGCCCCAGGTTCTCCCGGCCCCGCGCGCAGGGG